ATCTTGTCATGTGTATCTAACAAGACTCACGTAAACAATAACGAAAAGATGACAATAACCCCCCAATAACATCTTGGCGTTATTTGTGTGGTCCTCTTCTCGCAGTGTTATTGAAGATGTTCACAGGTTTTATTGTGTTATTATTAAAGTTGGTTTGCGAGGGTTATTGTAGCGTTATTGATGCTGATCACTTGTGTTATTGCGCTATTATTGTATTGTTATTCGAATTATTTTGAGGGGTTATTGAAACGAAACCGCAGTAATAGCGATATTGCGTTGTTATTGTGGTGTTACTGGAGTTGTTTTGGAATAACACCATAATAAGTGTTTTTTCGTCATTTTTTATATGAGCTCAGTACTCATGACGAGATTTTATTGGATTAAGAACTTACGGTTTGTTCGAAGCAATTGGAGCTTAATAATAAGTTGGATGTTTCTTTACTTTTTTTAAGTTTAAACACAATTATGCCACAGTTGTTTCTTGATAAATAATTATGCAATATATTTGTAATACCAATATATTTTATATTTTAGACTTAAAATAAAGTGCAGAATAAAAAAAATAAGTTCAACGTGCAGACATCACATCATATCATACATTAGTATGCAGGGCGGGCGTCAAGGAGCTTTGCCCTGGCACTTAGCAGCTTGCATGGCCACCACATCGTCGGATAACAATTTCCACGTGTCGAAGCGCACGTGGTATATCACCTTCCTCTCGCCATTTCGGGAGCTCAACGAATTGAGATTAGTTAGCTGTCGGAATGGTTGGTGAAGATGTTCGCCGGAACCCTAGTCGGGTATTTAATGGAAGATATGCGCTGAGTTCGTGTTCTTCTTCTTCTTCTTCTTCTTCTTCTTACTTGTCGTTTTCTCCGCCTACCGATAACGGTGGTGAGTGCGGGTTGGATGGGATGGAGCTGGCGGCAGCGAGGGCGCTGGCTTGTATATCGAAGGAGGCGCTGCGGAAAGGCGGGGGGAAGAGGTTGAAACGATTCAAGAATCGATCTCCGGTTCGGGATTGGGATGTGGCTTCGGTTCCTGAGGTACTTCACTTGATCTGCGGTGTATATGTGATTGTGAATTATCTTGATTGGTTTGTTTTTTTGTTTGTGCTCTGTTCTTAGCAGTAAGAGGATTGGAATTGGGGAACGGTAGATTGTCGGATAAGGGTTTTCTCATTGTAGATTTGAGCGAACTTTTTTTGGTTACTTTGAGGAATTTCTTATGATTCTTTTCTTGTTCAAGATAGCGGGCTCCAAACAATAGTCATTAAAATTGCGGCAACAAAAATTAAGTCGAGGAATACACGATTTACAGATTTAAGTGGAAAACCCTAGATTGGTAAGGAAATCACAGGAATAAGTGAAGAATTTACCATATTGAAGCGCGAATGTGTGCAGGGTGGTGGAAGAATCCACTGTGTGTGGGCATCACTTCTAGTTTTTCAGCTTAACTCAACAAAACCGTGGTCACAACTCTTAATCTGTTTGTCTATTTGTTGAGGCCCTATTTTTTTAGCATAGTGATTATGATTGGAAGTAAATAGATATTGTGTTATTATGAGTTTTTATTTACAGTTGAAATTTTTTCTGTTTTGATTTTTTTTTCTTAGAGAAAAACAAATTGCTTTTAAGCTATGATATTTAGGACTTAAGAGGTCTAGAAATGCTATAAAAATCCAAACTTGTTTTAATTTTATCTTAATTTTAGTTAAAGTTGCTTCTAATTTGAAGTGCCACATAGTTGCACTAAGTCTATGTTGGGGAATTGTTAGGCTGCAAGTATGATTTTGTAAATCTTTTTAGCGCTGAATCCTAAAAACTATGTGGCTTGATAGATATTATACCTGGTACACTTTGATGAATCCTTTTATAGTTTTAAATGAATTCTAATTTTAACAAGAAATGATTGAATTATTTGATTTAAGATATTTAACTTAAATTTGTATGTATATTTGATTTACCAAAATAAATTAATGTCTAATTTATGCAATAATAATTTTATCATAGACGATTTGATTGATCGAATATTAATTGGGTGTGCCAATATTTATTTAAAATTAAAAAAAAAAAAACTGAAACCTTACTGGGGAGGGCAAGTAGAATTGTCAGGGATGTGAATGATCCTCCTTCGGCAATGCCTTCCTTCTTTAGGTCTAATGCTCGTCATTAAATCTTGGGTCACATGAGATTTACTAAATTTGGGATTTATTTCAAAATGATGAGGAAATGAGATTAAAAATTTTTAAGAGGTTTTATTTTCACATAAATTTTTTGGAAGACTTAAAGCTAAATCCTTTTTAAATCCATCTTAAATCTTGCTCAGTTTTTTTTTTTTTTTTCGTTGAAGTAAGAACACGTATTTCTTAAGATGTTCAAATTTATTAGAGTAAGTGAATATTAATTTTAAACTATAAAACATTTTGTTTTAGCACACAAAGCGATGTAAAGTGAAATCATAATTTTTCAAAACATATTTTTATCCATAAATAACTTATTGAGCCCTATGGGGTAAACATTAAAGTGCAACTTTGCTAACATTAACGTTGACTTCAAACTAACAAATTACATGTTGTCAAATCTTGGCAAGTCTAGAATTTTTTCTTCCCAACAAAAACCGGTAATCGTATATTAATTTGTTGACTTATAATATCATCTTCGGTATCGTCGTAAATATATGGGATTGACTATATGAATCTTACTTTTTAATTCATTTATGTTTAAGATTTCCTTGAGCTTTATTCTCGACAAATCATTGAAGAACTTCTATCTATATTACCTTAGATTTACTCCTCCTTTTTGACCCTCCAGCACATATTTTATATATAAGTCTAAAGGGTGTATTTCTTACAATTTATTTTATACATATCCAAATTAGATAAGTTTTTTCAATAATTTTATCTTCAACATGTTACTTTATATGTGCTTTTAATACACCTATTCTATTTTTTTGATAAAATTTTTTGAAGTCTTCATAAGAGCCTCTTACCGAAAGTTATCTAATAGCCTTTAGACACTTATCTTTTTTAAACCCCTTAATTTAAATACAAAATTAATATCCTTATTTGTCTTCCCATTCTTTTTTATAATGATTCAATGAATTTAAACCTAACATATGTCTACTTCATTTTATATTTTAATAATTTTATTTGATTATTATTAATAACACATCCATCAGTAGTATATTTCATGTTTTAAACTTTTAACTATTGATTCTAAGCTATCTATCTGGTAATGTTAATTTTCATGGCTCTTATTATATATTTAGTTGTATAAATGTCGCACCAATTTGAATAATGTTTTTTGTAAGTAATTTGTAATGAAGCATGCTTACACTCACATCTTGACGTGACTATGATGACATGGCATTCTATAAATTGATTGAACATGACATGTCATTGATAAAATGTTATATTTTATAAGTTATTAATATAAAATATAGTTTTATGTTATTTGCTTGTGAATTTATTTGTGAATGAGGTATAACATCATAGACATACTTCACAAAAGATGATTCATAAAAAAAGAAACAAAAAAGCAAACAAACATTAACAGAAGAAATGTGTTATCATGTATGCTAATTATCATTTGTTAACATCCAAATACTAACATTTATTAAATATTGTCAGTTGTCATATATTTTTGGCAGGCATTGGTATCTCACAAGCTGTTTGTCCCTTACATGTAGCCATGCAACGTTTTGAGCTACAATTAGACCCATGCCAGGTCGTCCTTGACTCTACGTCGAACCGAATTCTATCTAAAAATGCTTCCGACTGTTTTGAAAGTTGGAGGCATCATTTAATGTTTGCAAATGCATAAAAATTATGTAATATGTATGTACTCTCCTAAGTAAAATTTCCAAAATAGTATTTTTTATATTTTTTGATATCCACATCATTAACAAGTTTATTTAGATCACTTCTATCTTGTTGCAATAATTCTAAATCTCTTTTTCTTCTTCCTTAATACTAATCTTGTTTCATTAATTATCAATTGTTGCAGTATTTATTCAGTACATATTTTACAAAACATCTAAATTTTTATAACTAATTTAACCATAAGCAGTATGCAATTTTTACCATTCGTTAAGGGCGTTTTCCTATGGCTTAGTTTTTTTTTCTCAACCCTACCACCAAGCCTCATTTCCACCTCATGATCTATTTCTAGACTCTCCCAAAGATTTAAATGACAATATCTTTAATTAATCTCAATTTAATAATACCAATTTGTTTCTCTTCAGTTCATATCTTGAAAAATTTAATAATTTCTCATCATTCAAATTCCACTCCCTATCTTGAGCAGTTAAATTTTCTTATTTTTTTATTTTTGTTGATTTGTAATTAGAGCATGTTAGTTTGTTATAAAAAATTTAATGTTATTATGTATGAGGAGAATCATTTTTTATTTCCTTTCATCATCTTCACCTGAGAAGGATCATTTTCAGGATAATAATGCTAACAGAGACTCAGAGGACGATAAAATAAAGGTCGAACAAATCACGGAAATACTACCACCCAGCAGTAATTGCTCTACAAACTCCCACTCAAGTTCAGGACCCAAGAGAAGGCCAAATCTAACTGAGGTAACCAAATGTTAAACCTCTCTTGAATTTATGATCTTTTATTGCATGCTGAAACATCTCCGCAGGCTGAAAGGGAAGCAAGGAGAATGCGAAGAGTGCTCGCTAACAGAGAGTCTGCTCGACAAACAATTCGACGAAGACAGGTATTCTACATTCATCCCATGACACTTAGCTACTTTGTATTAAAATGGAGGTTCAAAGATTTGAATCTAGGCAATAAAAAATATCTAACTAAACTTTGTTTTTGACATTTATACATCTGAAACCTTTCACTTGACATCAAATTTACCAACATTTTAACTTCTAAAATAAAATTTACCAACATTCATATGACATACATTTTAACTTCTAAAATAAAATTTACCAACATTCACATGACATAAGATATGTAAATACATAAGAATCGAGTGGTTTGTATGTAAATGTTTCTAAAAAATAAGTAACTTTGCATTGAAGTGATGTTCTAATGGTTGTTGGTTGCATGAATGGAAAGGATACTTTATTGCATCTTTGATTATCAGTTTTTCAGTATTTTATAAGATTTTTGTTATTGGAATATTTACCTACATGCCGTGCAATTCCTATTTATTTATAAATCTTACACATAAATTTTGATTTTTATATTTACAACATTTTGTCTGTGCATAAAATGGTGTTTTTCACTTTTAATAAGTTAGTTATAGCGGTATTTATGATGTGATATAAAAGGTTTGAGTTTTAATAGATATAAAATTCAAATTTTAAATATTAGAAATGTTAAGGTATTTACGTGTTATGTATGTAATTTAACAAATTTAATCATATTTATTAGAAGTTTGCATTAAGTAATTTCAAATTATTTAGGAAGATTTACATACATACCGCTCTTTTCCCCATGTTTAGGAAGATTTACATACATACCGCTCTTTTCCCCTAACATCTTAACTTCAAATACATACCTTTTTACATATCTAACATCTTAACTTCAATTTTTACATGCATGCCACCTTACATGAAATCATATGTTTTACTTTTAAAAAAAGTTAAAATGGCTGTAATTTTGATGTGACATGAAAGATTTGGGTGGCTAAAAAGTAAAGTTCAAGTGTTATATATGTAAATACATAGGAACTGGATGGTATGTATGTAAATGCCCCAATTATTTATCATAGTGGGGCCACTGACGCTTGCCAATTTCTAATATCAGATATTTTTATTTAATCAGGCTCTTAGGGATGGTTTGATAAAGAAAGTCTCTGATCTCTCACTTGCCAACCAGAACATGAAATTAGTAAGTACATTTTCTTAATTTCTTTTAAGCTCCTTCTGCCAGAAACAGATAAGTTTTTTCATATTCTTCATATTGCGTTTTCAACCAGGAAAAGAGGCAAATTACAAAAGAGTACCTCTCGCTGAGAAACAAAAACAAGCAATTAAAAACTGAGGTAGAAGAGGGACTTCTAATGATTTATTCATTGTACTAATTGCCCCCTGACATTTGCGTTAATTTTACTTGTGGCATTTACATGCATACAAATTATGTCCTACATATGTAAATTTCCCTAAAATTATGACATTTGGGTTATTTTAATTTTATTTATTGCAGCTGGCTATGACAATCGCTTGCAACATCATGGGTGCAGAACCCCCTTCTCCACCACCTCAAACATCATCTTCACCAACAGAAACTTCATTTCTGTCAAACCTCAATCCAACATTCTTGCTTAGCATCTGTCCTCCATGGCCTTATGATAAACCCACCGAGCCTCAGGTGCCGTCCTCTCGGTTTTCTTCTTTACTCGATCAAACATCTGTTCCCCATCATCTTATATCTCGCAAATCAAAAGACGAGGAAATCAACATTCTTGCTCCGTGTTCTAAACCAACATTAGCTCCTTCGAAAGATGAGGCAATGAAGGTTGAGAAATCTTGCAAGTTAGATATAGATCTAAACTATTCGAGCGCAATACCCGAGCCTTCTGATGATACTTCGAATCATTGTTCGAGTGATGAATTTGTTGTGGAACAAACAGCAAAATTCTTGGAAGCGAAGGCAGCGGCTTCGGCGAGGAGGAGGAGGAAAGAGATTTTAAAGCTGAAACATCTGTGTGGAAGACCAATGGATTTAGATATCTAACTTGTAAAAGGTTTGCTGTCCATTATTAATGGCTACTAGTGTTGTACATATTACCAAGCAGCTAATATTCCAGTACATATTTTGCTTATTGTAATTCAACACTTATATATACCACAGAATGCTCTGAAAATATTGTAATTACACTAGCATAGATTTTTGTTTTTTTGATGTTATAAAAGGCATCTGTTCTTTGCTGTGTTTTTAAAAATTTGGCAGATTTGTAAAAAATATTTATGGAAGATTTGCGTGCAACCCCTTTCAATTTCTTTTGTATTTACATTTCTAACACCTAAACTGCAATTTTACATGCAAAACCATCTTACTCTGCATGATAAGTTGTATCACAAATCAAGAGTTAAAATAGTGGTATTTTTGTTGTGATGTGAAATATTTAGGCAGTGTAAAAAACTGTTTATGGTTAGATGTGTAAATATAAAGGAATTGGGTGGTTGGTATGTAAATAATATGTTCCAGCAAATCATTGATATGGAGCCTCTACAGTAAGAGACATTATTTTGTGGGAGAAATATTTGCGTAGTCTGACGTAAGCAGAGCTGCGTACATCGGTAGGTTACAGAGAGGGTAATGAGGGGTTATAACCATTTTATACCCCCTGTAACCTATCGACGTACGCAGCTCTGCGTATGTTAGACGTACGCAAATATTTCTCATTTTGTCGACAGCAAATGCAAAGATGTGAATAAAATTAAAGGAATTTATTTTGAAAAATAATAATAATAATTAATGAAATTTAAAAAATTACCAGGTATGCATGAAATTCTTGATTCATTTTTTTTTTTTTTGGTTAAAAAATTATCCACAACTAGAGATTATAAATATATTATGTAGCACTTAATTATAATTAATTTTGATATTTTCGCCTACTTCATCCTTCTCCGATGCATTATTTGTTGGGAGAGTTGCAGGGAAATTTGTGGTAAAACCTATTCTAGAAATTCAAGAAAAAAACTTGAAAGAATGGAGCGATATCATATCAAGAAATTCACTTTGATGAAAATGAGAAGAATTGCATAAGTTACAACTCAAGCTCTTTCAAACTGGAACTCTTCAGGTCATTCTTTTCCTCTTCTTCGCACAAGAGAAATAGAAATTGCATAACCTCACAATAGATAAAATTGAAAATTTTAAGTGAAAACGACCTAACTTAAGTTGTGATGGTGGCACTACGATGCTCAAAAGTGGTGATGAGGCACGGCAACTGAGTGTTGTAATGTTGTGCTCTCTGGTTCTGTACTTGGGTGTGGCCATTGCGGCACCCGCTTATGAGCACTGGTAATTTGGTCTTATTGCTCTAGGTTCCATATATATATATATATATATATATAGTAGGGCCCGC